TCAACGAGTTCTTGATGAGTGGCCATCTGGAACGCCGCACGACTGCCGGTGAACCCGCCAAGAAGGTTGGCGTGGTGTTCAAGAACCTGACCGTCAAGGGTGTTCTGACCGGCGCGTCGTTTGTGCGCACGCTGCCTCACGCCGTAGTTGGTACTTTCGGTCCGGATCTCTACAACCTCCTCTGCAGCTTTATTCCTCCTTTGCGCTTTGGCAGATCTCCGCCGGTTAGGGATCTCCTGCACGACTTCACCGGTACCATCCGTGAGGGTGAGATGATGCTCGTTCTCGGACGCCCCGGTGCTGGTTGCACGACCTTCCTCAAGGCCATTTCCAACGACCGTGGGGCCTACGCTGGCGTCGAGGGCGAGGTTAGCTACGGTGGTCTCTCCGCCGAGGAACAGCACCAGCGTTTCCGCGGCGAGGTCAACTACAACCCAGAAGATGACCAGCATTTCCCCAACCTCACCGTCTGGCAGACCCTCAAGTTCTCTTTGATCAATAAGACTAAGAAGCACGACCGCGCCAGTATCCCCGTTATCATCGATGCCCTGCTCAAGATGTTCGGTATTACCCACACCAAGAACACTGTTGTCGGTAACGAGTATGTTCGCGGTGTCTCTGGTGGTGAGCGTAAGCGTGTCAGTATTGCTGAGACGCTGGCCACCAAGTCGTCTGTTGTCTGCTGGGATAACTCCACTCGTGGTCTTGATGCCAGCACTGCCTTGGATTACGCCAAGTCTCTGCGCATCATGACTGATGTCAGCAAGCGGACTACGTTCCTCACCCTTTACCAGGCTGGTGAAAGTATCTACGAGCTTATGGACAAGGTTTTGGTTATTGACCAGGGTCGCATGCTCTACCAAGGTCCTGCCAACGAGGCCAAGCAGTACTTTGTTAACCTCGGTTTCTACTGCCCTGATCAATCGTATGTCTCCCTTTTTTCCTTTGATAAATTGATGCTGACGGTTGCAGTACTACGGCCGATTTCTTGACTTCGCTCTGTGACCCCAACGCCCGTCAATTCCAGGAGGGTCGCGAGGCTTCGACTCCCAAGACGGCCGAGGAACTCGAGGATATCTTCCGCAGAAGCGACACCTACAAGCGTATCTTGGACGACGTGAGCAGCTATGAGAAGCAACTCGAGGACACCAACCAGGAGGACACTCGTCGGTTCGAGAAGATGGTTGCGCAGTCCAAGAGTAAAACGGTCCCCAAGAAGTCTCCCTACACTGTTTCTCTGGTGCGCCAGGTCCTTGCCTGTGTGCAGCGTGAGTTCTGGTTGCTCTGGGGTGACAAGACGTCTCTCTACACTAAGTACTTCATTATCGTCTCCAACGGGCTTATCGTCTCGTCTCTGTTCTACGGTGAATCTCTCGATACTAGCGGTGCTTTCTCCCGTGGCGGTGCTCTGTTCTTTTCCATTCTGTTCCTGGGTTGGTTGCAATTGACCGAACTGATGCCTGCCGTTACCGGAAGAGGCATAGTCGCTCGCCACAAGGATTATGCGTTCTACCGTCCGTCTGCCGTGTCTATCGCTCGTGTAGTCGTTGATTTTCCGGCAATTTTTTGCATGGTTGCTCCGTTCACGGTTATCGTCTATTTCATGACTCAGTTGGATGTGGATGTGTCCAAGTTCTGGATTTACTTCCTCTTCGTGTACACGACCACGTTCTGTATCACCTCGCTGTATCGGATGTTCGCTGCCTTGTCGCCAACTATCGATGATGCTGTCCGGTTCAGTGGAATTGCTTTGAACATTTTGATTCTCTACGTCGGTTATGTTATTCCGAAGCAAGACCTGATCAGCGGTTCCATTTGGTTCGGATGGCTGTTCTATGTGAACCCGATCTCGTACAGTTACGAATCTGTTTTGACGAATGAGTTCTCGAATCGAAACATGGAGTGCAGCCCGTCGCAATTGGTGCCTCAGGGCCCTGGTGTTGATCCGGCATACCAAGGCTGCGCCCTGACTGGTTCGGAATTGGGCAGTACGTCCGTCTCTGGTGCTAATTACCTCGATTCCAGTTTCCAATTCACACGGAGCCATTTGTGGCGCAACTTTGGTGTGGTTATTGCGTTTACGGTCCTGTATCTCCTTGTCACTGTCCTTGCTGCTGAGTTCCTTTCCTTCGTCGGTGGTGGCGGTGGTGCGCTGGTCTTCAAGCGCTCCAAGCGCTCCAAGAACCTCAAGAAGCAGGCTGCCAAGGGCAATGATGAAGAACAGATTGGCGGTGACGGTGCTGCAGTGGAAGGACACTCGAGTGGCAACGAGACCTTCAACCGCCTTTCTTCCAGTGACCGGATCTTCACTTGGTCCAACGTCGAGTACACGGTGCCCTACGGCAATGGAACACGCAAGCTGCTGAACGGTGTCAACGGATACGCGAAGCCCGGTCTCATGATCGCTCTGATGGGTGCTTCCGGTGCGGGTAAGACTACCTTGCTCAACACCCTAGCCCAGCGCCAGAAGATGGGTGTGGTGACAGGTGACATGCTGGTCGATGGACACGCCCTTGGTGCCGACTTCCAGCGTGGAACCGGTTTCTGTGAACAAATGGATCTGCACGACAACACTTCGACCATTCGCGAAGCGTTCGAATTCTCCGCCATCCTCCGCCAGGACCGCAAGACCCCGCGCCAGGAAAAGATCGACTACGTTGACCGGATCATCGACCTGCTGGAACTTGAAGAGATCCAAGACGCCATCATCGGTTCGCTGAGCGTCGAACAGAAGAAGCGTGTCACCATTGGTGTCGAACTTGCCGCTAAGCCCAGTCTCCTGCTCTTCCTTGACGAACCCACCAGTGGTCTGGATAGTCAAGCGGCGTTCTCGATCGTTCGATTCCTCAAGAAGCTCTCCCAGGCCGGTCAGGCCATCGTCTGCACAATTCACCAGCCCTCATCCATGCTCATCCAGCAATTCGACATGATTCTTGCGCTCAACCCCGGCGGTAACACCTTCTACTTTGGCCCCGTCGGCAAGGAAGGCGCAGACGTTGTCAAGTACTTTGCGGACCGTGGTGTCGTGTGCCCTCCCACCAAGAACGTTGCGGAATTCATCCTCGAGACTGCTGCCAAGGCTGACAAAGTTGATTGGAACGAGGAGTGGAAGCACTCGGAGCAGAACCAGCGGATTTTGAACGAGATTGCGGAGATTCGGGAGGAGAGAGGCAAGTTGCCTGCTCCGACTGCTGGAGAACAGTATGAGTTTGCGGCGTCGACGTTCACCCAGATTGAGCAGCTTACCATGCGGTTGTTCACACAGTACTGGCGCGATCCGTCGTACTACTACGGAAAGCTGTTTGTCAGTGTTATTATTGGTATCTTCAACGGATTCACCTTCTGGATGTTGGACAACTCAGTCGCGAGCATGCAAAACCGGATGTTCTCTATCTTCTTGATCATCCTTATCCCTCCTATCGTGCTCAACTCTGTTGTCCCCAAGTTCTACATCAACCGCGCTCTCTGGGAAGCCCGTGAATACCCCTCCCGCATCTACGGCTGGGTCGCATTCTGCACAGCCAACGTTGTCTGCGAAATCCCCGCCGCCATCGTGACCGGTCTCGTCTACTGGCTCCTCTGGTACTACCCTGTCGGCTTCCCAACCGACTCTGCGTCCGCAGGATACGTCTTCCTCATGTCGATGCTCTTCTTCTTGTTTCAGGCTAGTTGGGGACAGTGGATCTGTGCCTTCGCACCCTCATTCACGGTCATCTCCAACGTCCTTCCCTTTTTCTTCGTCATGGTCAACCTGTTCAACGGTATCGTCCGCCCTTACTCCGACTACCCCGTCTTCTGGAAGTACTGGATGTACTACCTCAATCCGACAACCTGGTGGATGCGCGGTGTTATCTCCTCCACTTTCCCATCCGTCCAAATCCAATGTCAACCCTCCGAAGCAACCCGCTTCAACCCCCCCCCTGGCCAAACCTGCCGGGATTACGCGGGTAATTTTGTCGACAATCTTACCAAGGTGGGATACCTGCTCGATGACAACGCCACGTCGAACTGCGGCTACTGTCCCTACAAAACGGGGAGCGAGTACATGCAGAATCTGAATGTGCACGAGGGCGACAAGTGGAGGTGTTTCGGTATTTTCCTGGCGTTTGTTATCGTGAACTGGTTCCTTGTTTACTTTTTCATTTACACTGTTCGTGTGCGTGGTTGGTCATTTGGAATGGGGTATGTGTTTGGTTTTGCCGGGTTGTGCGTTGATAAGGTTAAGGGGTTATTTAGGAAGAAGGAGTAAGCTTCTTTTCTTGCTTTGCCCCCCCTTTTTTTTTTTTTTTTTTTT